TTGCTCCTGCCCTAATCATGCTTAGTGATCACAAGTCAGCAACTAGAACACCTCAAGAGACAGCGTGAACCTCTCAACTTTGCGGATAAGCATAAGAAGACCGATTGAGGAAAAAGTCTTTAGAGTGGGTCCATCCCCTTGCTGAGATACGCCCCGCATTCGACTTCCATTCAGAAGCGTGATGGCGTTTGGAATGCATATGTGGCTTCTACGTTGATTTGCGGTGGCCGGCCGAGCACAAGTCTGGCTTTTATTTTCTCAGGAGAGTCTGGTACCAATCCAAAACCCGGAGAGATAAAACACTGATTGGCTCGAACGAGAATCGACCCGGGATTTGATCCGCGGACCGCCTGATATGCGGTAATGCGCCACTTGCCTACCCCACGTCCTTAAATTTTTCCCAAATACTTCCAAAAGAGCACGTAGCGAGTCCGTTCATCTTTTGCCTCAATAAATCTAACAAAAAATTATCCGTATCGGATGGAGGTGGGACAGGAATAAGAGAGGGTGCCACTAATCGGTAAGATGCTGAACGAAACCAAATGCGTGGCGGTTTCACAGGATATTCATTCCCTTCTCCTTCACTCTGTTGTACTTCTCGTAGGGTATCTGTACTTGGTACGACAGGAACTAGACCAAAGTATGGAATGAGAAAGATAAGAAGGTAAAAAAATAAAGAAAAAGTATGAAGAACATGCACGATCACTCTAGATCGGGCAGTAAGGAATCAATAGGAACCATTGACAGCCTCACGAGTAAAAACGATATATGTTTTTGTATTTCGTTTCTTGAATCGGACGTTTGTGATGAAAACGATGAGGCTCTAACATTCTGACTTTAACAAAATCGAGCCACGAAGGAGAGGAGCATTTTTATACGAACTTGGAGTGGCTTCTCAGAGAGAAACACACTTTCTTCACGGTCATCGTCGGTGATTTCAACGTCAAAATTGGTCCCACAAAAACGGTTGAAGAGCTCCACACTGTTACTCATGGCATGGAGTGGAATGAGTAGGAAAAAAACTGACTTATCACATAGACTCACGCTATCCACAGTTCCAGTAGCCCACTCATTGGGCAGTTCCATAATGAAACAGATCATCCCCTCCAATCGGAAGTTCTGCCTGACTGACGCCGCGTTGTTCCGAAGTTCTACAAGGGATAGGACCATGGTCTCCTTCGCGCTAGATTCTGTTTCGCATTGTGTGAGGATAGATGGAGATGCGGAGTTAAGGAAACGAAGCCCTAAGACCATCATGTGTGATCACTTCGCTTCCTCGCGAGTTTTGGGAGGATTCCATTCCGACATCATCGCTGAGGACTATGACTGTCCCGCCGAACATCTTCAAGACAATGCTGGGGAAGCAGAGAGCCTACAAGTTGTCAAGAGAAGCCCGTTTCTGAAGATCCCGAGCTAATACGCCAGCGTGGAATCGCGAGTGGGCTGCAGGCAATCATCAACAAACGTCCATACTTGCGAAGCTATGCAGATAAGCGGTAAAAGAAAATCTGGAAGAGAGAAGAGCAGCAGTTTTGGACGAAGCCACCGAGGCCGCAAGGAGCATTCGCAAAGCCCGCCGGAGCTTCGCCAATTATAAGACCATAATGACTTCCCTTCGTCGTCCTAACGACACAGTCACTGCGTCTCGAAGGGCTATGAAGAACGTCATTTGCGGCTTCTACTCGGATCTCTTCGACAGCCACGTCTACCTGGCTACCTACCATCTTAGGCAAGACGAATACATCGCTCCTTCAGTCTCGTTTCCGAGATTCGACATGCCACCACGTCGATGAGGAATTGCACGGCGCCAGGTCCCGTTAGGATCAAACTAGAACATCTGAAGAGCCTTCCGCTAGTCATTGTCAAAACCCTGGCCCGGCTTTTCAGGTGGTACCTGTCGGAATGCAAAGCGCTCCCTTTGCAGAGAACTAGCAAGTCTGAGTTGCTGCATAAGAAGGGAGATCCGACGATATTGACAATCATCGCTCAATCTGAGTGCTGTCTGTAATCTAAATACTTTTCACACGGGTCATCCATAACGGTAATTAAAGAACTGCGAGCAAGCAGGGCTTCAAAAAAGATTCAGTACAATCGATACATCCACTTTGTCCCGAAACTCGTTGAAGTACCGCGGAAGTACAGAATGCCGTTATTTCATCGGTTCTTCTATTTAAAAAAAAGGCCTTTGACTACGTCGAGACAGAAGTGGTAACTGGACCCTGGGCATCCAGAGTGCTTCTGCTCAGAACATAATGATGCTTCATGAGCTCTAAGACAAGTCACGACTAGGATTTCGTTATTCTAAACATTGTAGGCGTGAAGAGACGGGCTCAGCCGGACGATACCATGCCATCCAAAATTTCCAGAGCCGCTCCTGAGAATTGGAATGGGAAGACTAATAAACGACCTAGCTCGAGAGCTAAGCAGAAGGAAAGGACGGCATGGCCAACATTCAAGTACATCCAGAGAGTAGTGGAGATCGAAGATCGAATGGCAGGTGAGGCAGACATTTCATGCGACCGTTGGACCAGGGCGGTTACTGACTGAATTCCTTCGTGCGTCAAACGAATACCAGGACAGCCGTCAGCATGATCTTCAGACTTCTCCAAGGAGGATCTGACTGGAAGGAATGTTAAGCCTCATGCTCCTCGAATGAGAACGATCCACGGACAACGCGACCGACCGAACGGAGTTCTTATTGGCGACTGTTCGGAAAAATCTTCGATCATTCGAACGACAGATGATACAGATGCTGCTTTTGTAGAAGCTTTCAGCTATAAAAAAGTACTCTGTTTGATGAAAAAAAATTCAAGGATCCTCATCTGCATTTCATTCAATGCAAGAGAAGCCATTGGAGGTACAGCCCGTGACAATTTGATGGACCTTTGTTGGGTTACATGGTAAGCGTTGATACAGAATAGTCCACCCGTAGCGAAAACCCGAGAAAACCCACCCCGAAGTATAAGGCTCCTTCTCGAGCGAGTCTCCTTTCCAAGGTCGGACAAGACTCAACGACAAAAAGAGGTGTTTGAACAAAATTCTACCGGCTGCAAGCAACGTCTGTTAGCTATTCGCGGACATCATCGAACTGCATTTACAACTAACGCGCTCCATTTTGAATGATATCGTATTTTGTGATATGACGCCCTTATAAGGGCATTCTTCGGCACGACAATATCATGGGTGGGGGCTTCCCAGGAGCGATCTATTCCTACCAATAAGAATTCCACGAATTCTTTCTTATCGCATACTGGGCTTCTATGTCTTTCAAAGAAACATTGGCATCTCATTTGAAGAATGTCGTCTTTTACAAATCAAACCTGTTTCGAGGTCCCGGTCATCCAACTTCCATTTGTAATCGTTTTAAGCTTTCAAATGCGTATGTGGCCTATACAATGGAATGCGGTGGCAAGCTGATGTACAAGCAAGTGCCTTTATCCTCCCAGGTCAACCTGGAACCAACTAACTGACCTCGAAAAAATGGGAGGCTTGGTAAGCTCGGGCGAGTATCGCTCCGCGATTGGATCTTCAGACTATGCTTGTCTGATGGTCCGTCACCGGCCACAACGTCACCTCAGGCTCACTTAGTTTACCGAAGAATCACAGAAGAAACATAAGTTAGAAAGTTCCCACGGCTGTCGAGATGAAGTGGAAAGAAGATAATCGGGGGAGGAAGAGGAAGAGAGACTGAGGGAGTAGTACGAGGCTGTCGACAGGCTGATTTTATTTGCCACATTTAAGATGGTTGTCGTCCCGTTTGAAGAACTCAGTAAATTCCTCAGATCGTTTTCAGCATGGTCATGGAGTCGTGAAGAGACTGCCTTACACTTCCCATTGTGTCAAAAATTGTCAGCCTGTCTGTTTACTGTACTCAAATTCAAGGACAAATCTGTAAACGGATGATCCAAAAGCTGAAGACTGTCTTCGCTTGGATCAAGACTACTTCTTCGCCAGAATTGGAGCACCTTGCGGACTAAATGCAATCATTTTGCTTCCGTCGAGTCAGGAAAAGCTTTACTCATATCACGCGAAAGGGAGAGAAGGGAGAGAAGTAAAAAAAACTGATGGTCTCTTGTATCGAGGGTCTGAAAGCCTTGAGCTTTGAATCCAGGTCCCGATCATTCGTTCTTTACCCACTACTAGTAATGAGGAGGGAACAGTTCAGTATTAACGAATCCTTTCTTTGAGCCATTCCACTTGCATGAAACAACTTGCGACGACTAAACGATGGTAGACACCTTTCAAAGCTAACAACGCCCCCAGAAGAGTCCATTAACAATTAGCAGACGACGGAAGCATGGCATTTCACACAAATTCGATCTTCCGGCGGAGCTCTTCCAAATCTCTAATTGACTTCCGCCCTGATAGCAACATTTAAACTTACTGATGCCACTTGTCGAAGCAGCGCCCCGGTCGTTGCCGATCTTCCTCTCATGCTGAAACCATTGAGAACCTGAAACACTTGCCTTTCTCTGCATTTCACACCCCACCGGAAACCCTAATACGACCCCAGTTCCTAATCAGTGCACCAGGAATCCAAAAAGCATCTAGACTTGGCTGCTATCCAAATCATGACTAATATAAATAGGTTTATTTGATGAACTTGCAAAAAAAAAAAGAAAAAAATAAATGAGATGGGAGATAGGAAATCCGAAATGAACAACACTGAAACATCAACACGTATTCCGGGAAATCCGACAAATATATGACCTCTATGACAAAATCGACAAAAATTATTGTACAAAAACAACTGTAATCACATCAATTTTACACCTTTATAACAAATTAGGCGGCCTAAAAAATTAGCATGTCTTAATATCACGTGATCAACAAGCAACACAATAAACCAGTGAAAAAGATGCCATTATCAGCTCACGGGTTTTGCATCAACTCATGTCCCTGTATCTGCTGTAGAACGTCGCACGGACTCGTTCTTGATGCGTTGCTTCAGCACCGTGCATAACTCGCGATCCGGCCGCACCCAGGCCTGCTCCTTCAACTCGCCTCTGCGCTTCTATCGGATTCACTATGCCTAAAATTCTCGTCGATATAAGAGCTACCACCTCCTCTTCATACCGGGATAGAACTCTCCCGAAGAACCTCACAGAACCCAACCCCTACGACAATTTACACAAACGCAAGAAATACTTCAGTAGAAAAAAAGACCAACCTTGCCCATTGCGCCCCACGCCTTGGCCTTCACGCCAACCCATTGTTTTCAACAGCCGGCTTCCAATGTTATCGCTACCCAAAGGTCTCATGGACGCCAATTCGGATTCCTTCCGTAATGCTTCTTCACTCCTTCCGCTAAACTCTTCACGAGGGTTCATAACTAAATTATGTCGGTTATAAACTCTACTTCAAAATCGGATTAGATGGCATACCTCCAGGATCGAGACCGAAATGCTGCCGTCGTTCTTTTGCTCTGTCTCTGTACACTATCTTTTGCTCAACAGGTGGAGCGGCAGCTGCAAGAAGTGCTTGGGCTTCCTCTCCTTCCCTTTCCATCATAGCTGTCACGTATTGGCGGCCCCATTCGATATGTTTTTCCTCCAGATTTTTCTAAAAGCGAGGAAGGCCTCAATTAAGTTCTCTCAGTCTGATTGCCGCTATTCAACCTGGCAATCTCGAAGGAAACTATTTTGGGGGTCAACCAAGGAAAGCTCAGAAGAGCCTAACCAGTTGCATAAAACAAATAATGCCCCTACCCTGTGCAAATCGCTTTTCTCCACATGTTTCCTCAATACGTCCACACTGGGAAACGCTCGTTTGCACAGAAGACACATCTTCTTCGCCTCATCCACCAACGCACGTTCCATCATCTCTCGGTGCTCTTGAGCTGTCATGACATGTCGCCGTGGAGGTATGGGAGCAGCTTCTGGAGTTTCTGTAGGTTCTTCTAAAGTTTTTCAGAGAGTATTTAAGCAACTTTTCACGGATTACAAAAAAGTATCCCCAATCATAGAATAAGTAAATACGTAGCGAACTGATCATTCGACTCACCTTCAGCAGGCTCACAGCGCCTTTTCTCGTCTCCAGATCCTTCTTCCTCATCCTCTGAGTCACTTGCACTTGATAATGCCTGCCAAACATTTTCTCTCAGAACAAACTATTTATTTATTTATTTATAAAAATCATCAAATCAAAAATTGAAGATAAAACTTTTACTGCTCCCACCTTACTCTTCTCTAGCATTTTATGTGCAACATTAGCTGCACCAGCTTGATTCCTTTCGAAAGCGCTTTTCGTCTCTAACGGCTTGACCAATGGTTTTAGGGACATCTGGACTTTACTCTGCTTTTCTTGTTTCTTAGCCCATTTCATCATTTCCTTTGCAATGTCCTTAGCGCTTTTCTGAAAAAAAAAAAAAACGGAATTTCATTCGAAAAAGGATTACATTGAACAATCGCCGTTGTACAAAACAATGTACCGGCGTTTCCTCCTGCTTCTCCTCCGGTTTCTTCTCTTCGGCTGCTGGAGCAGCTTCAGCAGGTTGTGCACTGGCACTCGTAGTTGCAGTTGAAGTACTTTCAGCCTGAAAAGTATGTTTCGATGCCAGTGACGATGGCAAATCTAAAAACTCCGCTCACCGCTGGCTCCTCGATTGGGAAATATGTACTGTAAGTCGCATCCCATGTGCACCACTTCCGCGTTTCATTGTTGAAATAGAAACCGGTCTTCTGATCGTAGTAAAACTTGGTCTCGGGATCGATGTAATAGCCTGCCGTCTGATCGTAACAAAACGTTGCTGGATTGGGCGTCACTGAAATAGAAAAGACTTATGAAGAAAAATAACCATGCTCTCTTCACACTCATACCATATTTGGAAAACACTCCTCGAGGCGTCGGCGTCATCCCTATGATCCCATTGACCGGTGTTGGCGCCACAGCAGCATATGACGGAACTGTACCGGGTACCACCTGTAATAATGGTGTCTGAAGCATCATCCCTACATGCCTAGATTCGAAAGATCATTTGTACTTGTGTTAATTGTGGTAAATTGAACTGCGTTTGACTTGTTCCCAACATCGCTTGTTGTTGTTGTTGCTGTTGTTGTTGCAAGAGGATCAAGTGTTGCGGTGGTACAGCGACATTAGGTGGCTAAAGAAAACGGAAAGATCAATCACCCGCTCGCAACGAAAGGATGGCTACTTCAGCGAACTTACTAATGCATGCCCTTGGGACTGCCGTAACGCCGCCATTGCTGCTTGAGCTACTTCTGCACCATGAGCTACAAATAAATCGAAGTTGAATCAAAAATTACCATTTGCTACACTCGCTACGATTGGCTCGGTGATGTAGTGTTTCAAAAAGAAGCGGGAGTTACGCGTAAGGAATGATGTTCAGTTGCCTACCGTTCGGATTCATTCCCAATGTAGTCGCTACAGGAACGGGATTCCGACTTTGCAGCATGCTAATCTGCTGCCGAATGAGGTGTGTCATTGAATGTCGGCAGAATGTCATTACAACTGAAAAAACACATTTTGCCGAGTATTACATATTTACACGAACGAATTCCTACCATCTTTCCCTCCTATCTTTATCGGAGTTTTATAAGACGAATTCAACAGTAAAGTGGCTTCATCACTACTCTTCATCTGTATATACGCGTACTGCTTCGAATCGGAGATCTGTAGCTGGACAATCGATGTAAGCGCCGTATACTGACTGAGACTCTCAAATAGCATTGCCGTTGTGCAGTCTTCTGGCAACGATCGGATGAGGAGCGCTGAAAGAAACGTAAATATTGATCCCTACTACCACACGCAACCCTGAACGTTTCAAAAGAGACCCACTATCGCACGGCACAACGCCGACCATATGAAGGCCTTGCCGTTCGAGTTTCAATGACGCTGCTTTCTCCGTATCGCACTTGAAACAGGCCTCACGTTTGAAGAAATTTTGGACAGAGCACTAAATAAATTTGACTTTTCTAAAATGTGAGAAAAAAAAAACCTCTAAAAACTTAAACTACACAGAAGCCTCAACTCTCACAACATTTAATCTACCACGAGTACGAAGCAAAACTCTCCGAAAAATGCCAAAGTAAACCCTTGGAAGCTTTTGCAATTCAGGGACAACCTATGTGATTGTAGCTACTTTCTCAAACCGTGTGTACTAGCCCCTTTGAAACTCCACTCAGGAACCTAAAACCAAACGCGGGCGATCTAAGGTCTAAAGCCAGATTAACTAATCATCAGCAATAACACCTTATCTATCAGAATCCCCTGGAAACTACAAATATGCGTTTTTGTAAGCCTCAAAAAATGTTTACGTTGGCACATGTCCAATCGTGATCCGTCCGTGATCGCCCAGCAATGGCCGGATCACTTTTTGCATACTCAACTTGCACACGACGACCATCTGACAACGTTAACCATCCCTGAACGAATAATTATTCATTATGAGCGTGCCGGATCACTTTCGTGACCCGACACATACACATAAATTATAAAATATATGATCTATATTGAAAAGGCTTTGGTTGAACTAATCGAAGATAAGCTATCTGATTTCACAACTTGTCTGTCTATAAAAAATCAGATCATTTTTCGAGCCTAACCATAGATCGAATTGTTTGAATTTCTTGGATAAGAAGCTACTCCATAAGAAATGACTTGAATAAGCCGATACCAAAAACTTCTTTCTCACAATAAATGGCCTTTTCAACTGAGTTGGCATATATCTTGGGTGATGATATCCCAGTTTTTGCACCACTTTTCTGCCTGAGTTTACTTCAAAAGCACATTCACAGTCAATGAACCTGTCATGGTTGAAACCCAATAGCGAACGCATTCCGCTTCAATATCTTGTCGACTAATCAACTGTTGGGAAAATTCCATACGCGGTAAGCCCACAGAATAGCTCCTTATCCAGGAAATCTACTACATCTGTTTGGAGATCGAGCAATAAGAAAACCATTTTTTAATCCTACACCAGCCGGGGATGGGTTACCTGACGCTACTTAAAGATCTGAAAAGGTGGGTCAGGAGACCAGAGCATAAACCACAACACAATAATGACTCCAAAGAAATGTAACGGAAAACGTCATTGAAATCAATGACAACAGATGGCGATTGTATGGAGCGAGACCTGGTTCTCGTCCATCCATTTGATGGCCGTCTTCACATCAGCAAAGTCGATAAACCCGAACGAACGCGAGCCACCTGCAGCGATTCAAGCATTCGCGCAGGATATATCAAACCATATTCACAAGAATTCAAGACAAATACAAACGAGTTATGATTACGTACATCGATACATGAGATTCTGACAAGATAACAATACAAATCATTACATTATCAGAGAAAATACGAAAAATCCGAGCCTTCCAGCTAAACTTCCAAAGGACTAGGTATAAACGCCCAGTGCATAGGCACACTTCGGCTGTAACACCGATGTATCAAATTAGTGAAGTGATATGATGCCGTTGGAAAGCAACCTGATCGCCATGATTTAATTAATGCGTATCAGTTCTGAATGATGAAAATTTCGCTATTAATCCACCCATACTACCCTATGATAGTTACTCAAGTTCTGCTCTGCCAACTAGAATATTCTGCAAAATTGTTAGTAAGTATTATAATAAAAAATAACTTTACAATGACGGTAAATTAACTTGTGCTCAAGACAAAGCGCTAATCTCATCGTCTTGCACTTTATTCCCAACCCACTAGTGCGAAAAATTAACAAATTTAGTCCAAATGGTCAATAACTCCTGAAAAAATAGATTAGCAAAAAAATCTAAAAGCCGACCGTTACGCCTAATCTCGTAGCAACACGTCTGATGATACGCCCATCCGTGGAAAGTGCCATTTAGTCATATTGACTAGCATCATACACCAGGGGTGAGCATGATTTTTCAGATTGCTTTGGTATTTCAGAATGAGCCCTGATAATCCACGACGTGAGGTGGCGATAGGGGCTAGACGCTGCAGAGATGCACAAGCCACGCAAATGATGATTGATACCGCTAGCTGCAACGTGTCTGAATTGGAAGCGCATGACCGCTCGACAGCCCGATTTTGTCTTTCTTTTATTGTATGATCGCTTATCAGATTACAGTTCAGGTTTTTATGGGGAGTGGTGAGGTTAGTGCGGCTGAGGGTATAAATGATTAATAACAATCTTCAGTGGTGATTTAACTTAGTCTCGATGAGAGGGCGTAGAAAGCAGTACGGAAAACTGGGCCCCTGTGAGCGAAAATCGATCAATGCTACGATGATCAGTCAACAAAAGAAAAAACGAGGCCCGACAGACGCACTCAAGCACCCCTTAACCCGATATGACCAAACGAGTTCCAGGCATTATTGCAACACGCGTAGCTGGTGCGTGATGAGAACAACGGTACCACATCACCCCACTAGTAGGAAGGCTGCCGCAAAAAATAGAAGCATCCCTTGTGTTGCGGAGATATGGACCTTGTGTATTATCACGAATCAGTCCATAACTTTATTGAAAACGGCTTTCGAAAGTCAAGAAAATCTACACGATTTGAGGCGTATGCAATGAACTACGTTAATGATTTCTGACCATTACAGAACAAGCAGGACAACTCTTATCAAAATTGCACGCTCAGTGATTCTCACTTAATTCGACCCGTCTTCATGAGCAAGATTCGCGACGTCATGTTATCCGAGAATGACACGAAATTTTATCAGAAGAAATATAGAAAATTGAGTATTATTCTTATCCCTTGACTCTACCTAAACGACATGTGAAAGTATCAAAAAAGTACAAATTAGGAGACGCACAGAGAAAATTCTAGCATGGATGGCCAGAAGGCCGCAGTGAGATTTTCGTCAATCATCGCCTGTTTTTGCACTTTTCAAATCCTTTGAGTTCGACTAGACAGATTTACGACCAGCCTCATCACCAAACCCATGTTTGCTCTGCTGTCATGGCGCGACACACGAGCGATGTATGCTTCTACAAATGGTATGATCGGTCCACGCTTGTACCACCGCGACTGCACAGACGGCAGTGCGATGATGACCACGATGTGCCACCATAATCCCAACCAGCAACCTCTTCTCGGATTCCAGCCGGATGTTATGTCACCCTCCAACTGCCGATGCCAAGGAAGGCCAGGAATCTAGCCGAGACCACTAGAGCACGGCTTATGCCGGCTGAGGGTGCTCCGCCAACGATTCCTTGTCAGAGCGTTATTCTGTTATTATCACACTTGCTGTTGTATCTGGCTGCAGTGCGGAAGTTTCGACATCATTCTTTGTACTTGCTCGAAGTACCGGAGTTTATCACCTTAAAAAGGTGACCCTCACCGTAAAAGTTGGACCTCTTGCAAATTTCTTGCGAGGGCTTTCAGTTTTTTCTTGGAACACAGTAGAACTATACTGCACACCTAGCACTGACTTGTTTCACTTCTTCCTTAGCATTTTCATGAGAAGCCCGGAAGGCTTATTTCAGTTGTGCACGCAAGGGATTAGTGGTTCCATGTGGCCCGCCGCGATGCCACGTAACTTCCACAAAGAAACCCACTCAGTCGCGCACGCCAGACACATTTGAGTGGGCGGTCGATGATGAGTTAGAGGATAGAAATCAAGCATAAGGGATAATGACTAATCTTGGGGAATTAGTCGATCCCGTGTGAGGGATGCGCCCTAGCATTCGAATTCCATTCAGAGTCGTAGTAGCGTATCGAACGCCGCGGCCTATACAGTGACTCGCGGTGGCCAGCCGAGTCAGTGCTTCATTCTCCCAGACGAGTCCGGTATAAAATTAACCGACCCCAGGGGGATGGAAGGTCGGTTTACTTATGCGGATATCTACTAGGATTCGAACCGGTAACTATGTCCGAGCCTACCACAAAGTGATCTCTATCTTTCAAGCCCCATCTTTAGACATCTGCAACTGGAAAGTTCTCATGTTCGAATTTTCCAAGAACTTCCTCGTGGTCATTCACAAACCATAAAATCAACCACCACCTTCAGAACCCTCCGCGACCGCTGTGACGTAATTGAATCAAATCAAAAAATAGACCACTGAGCCGCGTAGCGATAATTTGATTAAAGAGATAGGCTCGTCACGTCAGTCTTGGAGTAGAACCGTAGAGTAATGGCTAGAGTGACGACCCTAACTTTGAGATAATCTCATGAGCCTCAGCGATTACCCATAGCAGCACTTAAGAATTATTTCAATAATTTTTGATTCTTTTCNAGAAAAAAATCACTGCTCGCAGTGAGTTAGCAAAACCCCTGCTGCTTTCTTCCTTTGGTCCCTGCCACTTTTTTCCCTTAACATTCAAACACTACTACAGTTGACATTAAAGAAAAATTTCCTAATAGAGTTGATGGTTTATGCCAAAACAGAACCTTAATGAGAAAGAGAAAGCTGGAAGCTACGCCTAACAACAAATACGAGATACAACCATGCTAGAGCGAACTTTTCTTACCTCGACGATTAATCACACGGATATCTTGCGGTAGATAACCCGATGCTGCCAGTACCAATGCGATCTTCAAGAGGCATATTAAGGAAAGTAGAGTTACTGCACTCAATGCATGCCTTCATTCGCACTTACGGCATTCCTATCAACGTTGTTCGGCATGTTTAGCAGCGCCAATTTGTTTACAGGGGTAACGTGCGGTGGTTCCCTCTCCTGCAAATTATTTACAGCATTAGTAATGCTGAATACGCGCCAAACGAGTCCTGGACGAAACAAGTGGACCCGTAAAGGAAAAGGCATCACTACGATGCCTTCTTACTCTGCTTCTGGAGCGAGACCGCCGTCTGCGCACCGGCGACCGTGAACGAGAACGACTGCGACCTGAAATTACAACTGAAATGTTGTGTGAATCTACAGAAACAGTAGCAGAACGAGTCGTCTGAGAACTAAAACACGATCTCCGAAGAGCTGCTCGGAACCCTGTAGCCACGCAATTGTGCGTTCTGGAGCTTCGCACTACATTTCCCACAGGCATCATCATACACCCCTCACCCGGAAGGTAGCGTTGAACCATGGATCCTCATTCAAATATTACGGTTTCAAAATTGGGCATTTCTGTGGAAAATACTAGCTCAAATCACCCACGCTTGAGAGATGCTTCACCCTAGAGCAACAAGAGAGATTTACACTCATGCATTTGCCTTCGTACCAGAATAGCAATGGCATTTGTAGACGTTTACAAAGGCCAAATGATTCGTGATCCAGCAGATGAGTCTGTCTGGTACCAAAATGCCCTCAAAATATGAGAAGTTTGGTGAGCCTACAGGGGATAGATCAGGTAAAAATAAGGGGTTGGAAAGGGCACTTCATTGTCCTCTGTGTTCCTAACGCTAATTGCTAGAGCCAGGGAAAGATAAGGCGTTGGTTTTTCGGATCTGTGGTGATGCTGAGGAACGATTCTTATTAAAGGGATGAAGTTTTTGACCTTATCCAGAAGATGAGCTCCGGAAATTTGGCAATGCTGACCAGTAAGACACGTTGAATGAACTAGGAATTGCTCAATGATTTCTCACGAAAGTAGGAGGTAAGGGTGCAAAATGACCAGCTCCCTCCAACCACATTTTTGAATCACTCCGACATTCTACGAAACAAACGGTTGTTAGCGGCAACAAATGGCACTACTACGTCAGCGCCTTCACAGATGACTTATCTCGTTGTGAATGATAGTCTTTCAAAGAGAACGAACGGCACTCATGCCTGACTGCCTTCCCTACATAAACCCTCAAACAGTCCATGCCAGGAAAGGAAAAATGCCACGATTTGGCCAGTTAAACTCGCACGCCAATTCTACCAAGAGGTAATTTAACGGTATTATAATCAGCGAACAAATTTGATAAGACAGTTTGCAATGCGCTGCAATCAGAGCTCATTTTTGAACCGAGTTTTTACACACCTAGAACAATGAGTAGAGAAAAATCGTCACTGCAGCTCATGACAATGGCTCACCTCGAGAATATCGCCTATCGCGACTTCGAGAACGGCTTCTGTTCCGATAGCGACTGGGTGAGTCTGGCCTTCTACGATCGCGTTGACTGGGAGTATCGCCTCTGCATTTCACATCAATTATAAGGATAAAGGGACATTGACAACACAGGAATGATCCCAATCGAGGGAAGGAAGAATGCGAAGGCGCATCAAATCCGAACGAGTACTACGTTGTGCTCAGAACCAGCGATAAATGTAGATTGTACGAAGAACGGAAAAGAATATAAAAGGTGGGGCAAGAAGTCGACACAAACAGCATAGAATGAATTTCATCCCATTAGAAAACGGTTTAGGGTCAAACGTCATCGTTTGGGACAACGTTTTCAAATTTCTGGGGAATCATCGCGGTTTTCGTTATTCTTATTGCTCTATCTCGTTCAAACAGATTGTGATCAATTTTTCTTTTTTTTTTGAAATTTCACATGAACCAATAGGTCCATTTGGGAACTTCACCAGCGCACTATACACACCTCCTCAGATCGTTTTGGTAAAATCTGATGTCCGCCGTTTCTTCAAATCTCTGATAGTAGTCGTTGTAACTATAGCGTTCTGCTTGACTTCGAGAGTACTGCCCACGATCTGGTTCCAAGTCGGGCTGAAAAAAAACTTCATTTAGTACGTAACATGACTTTGGATGGAAACCTAGGAATGCTACATTCCCATACACGTATTTGTTAATTGCACACGAAAACTTCAGAACGTATCACTGACCCGCGAGCCCGTACTTGAAAATGAATGATGAACCACCTTCATGCCTCGGCCGCCAACATCTGAAGTGTCATACAACCACTGTTGCATCATTCACCGGTTTTTTCTTGACTTTATCTGAAAGCATGTTTTTCTTATTGCATTCGTATGTAGGTATCAATACGACTCCTTCGCGATAACAGAACAAAAAAAGAAGAGACGAACAAAACGCTTCACCCAGATGGAACCTCCAAAAAAAAAACCCTCAGAGGTCCTTTCAGACCCTTTGCACTTGCTATGTCCAGGAAAGGATAATCCCTTACCCAACCAGTAAAATACCATTGAGCACCAATAAATCCCCTTTCAGCTTATAATATATGTGTAAAGGAATACACGTAAGACAGGAGGAAAGTATGATCCAAAAGTATTGTTGATAGACGAGGGAAGAAACCCGCTTGCGGAAATGAATTGAGGACAGAAGGAGAGATAGGTAAAGTAGATATGATAAAATCTCCCCTTCCCCACATCCTAACTCACACTACCCAAAATATTGATGATAGGCTAGGGAAGAATCCCGGTTGTCAGCATGACATTTACTTAAAAGAATGTCTTAGCTATAGGCATAGGGACCCCATTTTAAATACATCGGATTTCAATTCTGAAAGGTGTTTTCTCACGCTTCCCCGACCTGAAAGGAGGCTACAGAAATAGCATGTTTTGCTGAGTCAGGAGGAACTCGTGGAGGTTCTCCGAGATAGCGTACTGCTATTTCACCGCACACTGCCCTTTTCGAAGGAAGTCGACAATCAAACGTGCTCTCTTCCCCACGAGAGCTCTCTCTCTAATGACCATTCAAAGAACGTCTTTCCAAGTCTTAGACGGGAACAAAATCCATGAGCCGAGAATGAGAAATAGCGTGGAAGCGAAACAACACATGTTCAAGATAATGTGCGTCGACGCAAACCTACGAAATCTAAAAAAAACAAAGCGTTTTCGAAGGGCTCGCTCATCGTTGCCGCTGCAGTAATGCATCTCGGTGCCAATCAATACCCTCACACTTCGGACGATCCTCACCCATTCACAGAGGTTTCGCGGACTAGACACTAGATCTGACAGGGTAAAATGGTCTAAGGACAGTTCTACTTCCACTGAACTGGATTACGGGAGTTAGCTAACTCAATTGGTGCTAATCTGGTACGCCAGCGGAAATCATGGCAAACTTCCTAAACCACTCAGGAGAACTACATTAATACCTAGTCGAAGTAAAGGCAATTACAGTCACGACAACCAGAGGAGGAAGCCCATTGCTGGGGAAAGACGGAGGACACTGAGAGAAAGACGGCCAGCACGCCGCCGCCGCCGCCGCTGCTCGAAGCCACCGACTGAAAAAAAATCGATGGCAATTCCCCGCCCACCGATAATTTCGTCGCGAGCAAGCGCCTGCCGAGCGGTTATCTGCACTGGAGCACAGTATTTCACTGGAAATTGATGTTTATCATAAATACTTAATTACGATAAGGTTTCTATGGACAGTAGTTTGGAGAAGTTCTTTTCTATTATACCTTCTTTATTGTATCTTGTGAACAGTAAATTATGTTCTAACTATCCCGGGTTGGCACCCCAAATTCGCACAATCTGTTTGTGTGTGGGAAACGAGAAAATCGCGCATGCTTCAGTACTCAACCGGCTTTCATATATATTAAGACACGTGCTCACTAGAAAAGGATGATTTATGCAGCTCAGCTGGGAAGCTGGAAGGAAATGACCTGCTGATCATTTCAAAGTCATAGGAGCAAACACTTCATAACTTGCCTGAACAGAAACTAATTTGGCTGAAACTCTCAGAGTACTTGAAGCCGTGCTGCTCGAAGGTGGAAAACATTCCCGTCGAATGTTTTTAGTTGCTCGGAGTATTTTTTCCGCGCTCCATTGTCACCTGTTACGGTGACTCGCCCCCTTTAAACAGAGTACTTCAACTTCATTTTTTTCAATGTTTCATTCATTTTACATTTTGCTTGGTGTTTTTTGGAGGATTTGCTACTTAGTTGGGGAACAATTACTTACAAGTACAAGCGCAGTAAACAGGACTGCATGCTTTTTCAGATTATGTGGTGATTTTTTAATTGGAAGTCGTAAATGTACTCGACGGATTCCTTTCAGCATTATTTTGCAGTGCTATAATTTCAGCTCCCAGAATGCCTCGACGAAAGCGAAAGGGACGAAGTGCCAGGGCAGCTAGGCGTGGGCTTTTAGGCATGGGCGGAGGTGCCTCAAGGCGTCATAGGAAAGGCAAGGTGAACCTCGTGCTCATCTGTGTACATTGAACATTTATTTACACTTATTTATTTACTTCATACTATTTTTGTCCACAGAAGAATGATGACGCTTTGGACGAGCAAGAAAAGGCTGTAAAACAAATCCGGGCTGCTGGAGCTGCGAAAGCTGCCGAAGACGAAAAGGCCAGGTATGCCAAGATATACCGCCAGCATCGAAGCTATATGAAGGAACTCAATTTCATCTTTCTGTGAGGTTATGAAAGCTCACATCTTGATGGAGTCGATTCTTAGTGACAGGACTATCACAGTACTACAGAAACATGTCCTTCTTTCGAATGACGGAAATCAGACTAAACAGGAAATTAATGTCAGTTGTAAGCATCAGGTTCCTCACAGAGAAATAGAAATATTGGACCAAACATGGGCTCTTTTTGTACCCAATTTTATTGATCATGGATGCTTCGAAATGTCTCTACATGTAGTTTTCGGTGCCATCAGATTCCATTCAGGCAACCACATTCGTTTGTGATTCATCGCGGTAGCGTTGGCAAGTATATCAAGGCATTGGAAAATGATATCCGGCAAATAATGGATCCCTTTACAGCGAAGCACTTGAAGGTATTGTTCTACTATCGCTTCTGGCATTCAGAATTCGGTACTGGCAAAATTTTTTTCGCCTTTTCCGTTGAGGATTAAAGGTCGGCTGGGTTATCTCCAAATTTGCAGACCCTGAAACGCAACAACATCAAAGATTTCGTAGTACATGGCGCTGTACTCGGTGTGACGAATATGATGGTCTTGACAACCAGTGATACGTCTGTTCAACTACGAATGATGCGATTCAATCAAGGACCCACACTCACCTTCCGAGGTTAGTGTTTTTTTGAGTTTCTAGTTCACCATTTTCCCGACCCATACACTTCCTTTGCAGTGCCCGAATATTCCTTGTCACGTCATATCTTAGCCACGCAGAAACGGCCCTTGGTACACCAAAAACTTTTCGAAAGACCTCCTCTTGTTGTTATGAACGGATTCAGCCAGGTATGATAACTGTTCTTTTCCTATTTCGTTGATTCCATTTGCTCAATTATGTACGGCGTATAGGTGTCAAATTTGTTGATTTTCGACTTTTAGAGTGGTAAAAAACATCTTCTGCTGGTGGAAACTTTTATACAAAACATGTTCCCCTCGATCAATATCGATACGGTAAGTAATTTCATCTCTTCTGAAGTAGTAGACAGGCGGTCCGTCGAGCAGAAAACAGAAACTCTGCAGAAACCTCCTGACATCTCGGTTTATTCTGGGATAACATCGAGAAATTACCTCAGTTGCACATTTAGTTTGCTATTCTTTCTATTTCAGCTTGAATTGCGAACTGTAAAACGTTGCTTGATGGTGAATTACTTCGAAGAAGATGATACTATTGAGATTCGCCATTAGTGAGTTACTGTAACCTTATTTAATGTTTTTCCGTCCTGTTTATTATAGATGTGAACATATTAAACATCGACACAGTGCTTGCGGTGTCAATTTCCTTTTTCCCAGTGCTATTCGAACAGTAGCATCAGGATTGAACAAATCAGTTCGGAAATTGGTCCAAGCCGGCAAATCGACCACTAAGGATCTGCCGGATCTTTCGAAATACAATGATATTGCAGATTATCTTCTGAAGTAAATAGAGAGCTCGTTTGTTCTTTTGATTGCTATTTTATAGTATGTCCACCTACGATTTCAGTCCCGGCCATTTGAGCGACAGCGAATATGAGGGTGAACAAGAAGAGGTGGTCTTATCGCAGAGTATCAGTGAGCAGGCTGGTACAATGAAAGGCGAAAAAAGTCACATACGGTAAGGCTTCACAGTGTTGTTAAAGGATAAGCAATCTTCTAAATTGAAACTGAAACAGCTCCTTTTGGTTTCTGCAAAAGACGTCATCTAAGACTTCAGAAAACTTGGAGTAATTGTAGATTGATGGAGATTGGACCACGTTTAAAACTGGAGCTACTAAAAGTTCAAGATGGAATCGATGAAGGAGAAGTGTTATATCACAAAATCATCCAAAAAACCAGTGAAGAACTAGAAAAACTGAAGAAGGAAGCTCCTAAAAAGAAGTGAGTCAAGTTTGGCTTGTTCCAGAAAAATGGAAAATTTTTTCTTGCAGGAAATTGAGAAAGAGAAGGGAGCAGGAGACAGAACACCGCGTCATACGTCGTCTCGAAAACGCAAAAGAAAAAGCAAAGCGAGAGGTATTCTCGGTTTTGGTTAAGTCATTTTGAAGCCGAAAAATCAGTCATTTTAGGAAGAGGAATTCAAAGCGTTCAAAGAAAAAGCTGCAAGAAAACAAGCTGCAGCGACAGGGCAGACAGAGGACATCGAGAATAGCAAGGAAAAGGATCGAGAGATAGCTCTTAATAGAGAACGGTGAGAAAGTCTTTTTCTCTGTTTGCTTAGTGATTGACTATTGTCACAGTTGAACGATTAGTGAAAAATTTGTGTTCACATTTGATCCGAGCAATCTTTAAATGATTCCGTTTGCCTCGCTTTTCATGCAAGGAGCGCTTAAGGGCTCGAGACGCTTACTTGTTGTATGAACCTATGAGCGTTCACCTCTCTAATGGACTTCCTTAATCGTACCAGCAATTCCGATCACATTTCCTATTTGATGAGCACGAGCGGATGCACCACTTACGTCCTGAGAGGCATATGCATATTGGAGTTATATGCCTCCCGACGGCATCCTGTTGCTACTGCCCGTAGCTGGGGATGATAACAACTCCATAGAAGTAGGTCCATGAGCACAGGAAATCCACGAACTTCTCAGGAGCCAAAACTGAGNGAGCTACAACTGCAATCTCGCGACTAGATCTCGCGTTCTAAAAGCTTGCATATGTCCAGGGAACATTAACGTGGCCTGTGTTTTTTTCCTACCGCACTTCGTAATTGTTCCACATTACTACTTGTCGTATGTAATTAGTTTTATGAGCATTTGTTACAGTGATTGTTGTTGTTCAGCGAGTTGAAACGCCACGGCGGCGGAGGCGAAGGTCAAAATCGTCCACTGGAACCGGAACGAAAACGCAGGCGAAAGGATTTTCATGATACGAAGCACGGCGCAAAGAAGCAATTTAATAAAGAGAGAGGAGAATAGTTCGTCTAATAGTACGTTGGCATCACCAGTTGTTAATTTGTTTTTGTACCGTTTCTGTTGTTGTTGATTTTGTGATCTTTATATTGATCTATAAGAATTGCTATTTGTCACGGTTGAAAGTTGATTAAAAATTAAAGTCCTTACGCAGTATTCCATGAAATATAGAAATAGCTGAGAACTGTGGCCCCATAGCACTTTTGAAAGTTTGTTTTGGACGAATACCAAAATTATCTTTTCTTTCAAAGTCTCCGATAGAAACACAGGCGTTGATCGTGCACAGAGTGACTGGTCAATGACCTATATTCGCTTGCGCTCTTAGAAAGTTCATGAAAAAAGGTAAGACCTAACCTTCACGGACAAACTGACCTTCATCATTCGTTTGTTCACCGCGAAAGGTACACAAAGCCTGCACCCTATTGTGTAGAGTTGAGAAAAAGATGTTCAAATGCTAGCAGAAAATAAAATGAGATTGGTAAAGAGGGCCAAAAGGAAGGGCTTAGCAATATTTCACTCTGAAACAAACGGAACGATCTGCCTGGTGTAAGTGACAACCAGTACGTCCTTCAGATATATAGGCAGACAAGAGTAGCACCACCACGCTTGACCCTGTCTGTCGCTCCACTTGGCAAAGAAAGGGTCTCAATCACTCGCCTGATTTGTCACAGAAGTATAAGCACCTGCGTCGGTACACTCATTTTTGCCGAGCTCCTACCACGTTCCCCTCGAGATTAGTAAATTAAGAACAGGGCGATCAGACATTTCTTGTCCTGCAAATACTCCGCTGTGACATACCTCAACATCGAGATAATATGTTCCCTGGTTGCTGAAGAAAAGTAGAAACACTTCTGTAATATATTCAATGTCGAAAGGACCAAGAAAGTAAAGTTTCTGAAATATTGAGAAAAGAGCATTTCACAACTTTTTAAGGTCAACAACCAATCAAAGCGCGTTGCATTTCTCTTTGAGCAGTTTCCATAAATGTAATTAACTAATAAAACCTATAGGGTATTCTAATGCTAGACTTACACGTACTGAGACACAGCGCTACCATGCCTTGTAGCTGAAAAAGCCATTTGTATGCCCTCCTGAACAACAGCGAGTAAATAAAAAAAAATGGTCAGCTGACATAGCGAAGAGTACTGACCAGTATTGATAACATTGGCTAGTTATTTAGTAAAGCATCTAGTTATATCAACAGACCACAACATAACAAACAACAACGTTTCAAAAATCACAAGAGCCATCCTTCCAACCATCTTTCCAACGTTCGAAAACTTTTGAGCAATCGAATTCCGGTTTTCCTGTCCTCTTGTTGACCTGGAATCAATAGGTGTACTAACGAATGACGCCGATTACAATCCCAGTTAAACGTGACGTACTGCCCAGAAAACAGGTGACGGAAAGGGAGCCGTCGAAATGGACAAGCAGAACCAAGGGATAAAGGGGATAAAAAGCCCGGGACCGGAGAGCAGAAATACAGGTTGGAGCCCCGTTTGGAGCAAACTTGCATATAAATCGCCAATCTCGTGAGACTAGCAAAAATGCCTGCAAGGGGTGGGGGTAAAGTATCTAAAGCTTGTCTCAGGATGGATTGAGATTAAGAATTAGAAAAAAAAAAGCTGCTCTCTACACAATCAACAAATTTGTCTGCTTGTTTGTGTACGGAATCTACGAGGAGCATTGTTAGAAACTTTCTAAGTTGAATAATTTCCTTTTGAAAAATGATGCTTGATGAAGCATAGGACCTTTCCTTCAGGTCAAAAATCAATAAATGCGCCTTCGTGCATAAATAACGGGACTGTACTGAAAAATTACTTACTTTATTGTGTAGCTGACACATCCACATCGCGAACTCTGTGCGGCTACCAAGTTTAGGAGGATCATTTTTTAAACTTTTACGTAAATCCTTTGCACAATAATCACACGGGTATGTCTGAAAACAAAGAATGAAAGAAATTAAAAACAGTCGACAACAACAAAGTCAAAATAAGAAGCGGTCAAACGCCTAATAACGAATCAAAATCCAAAAACACCAAACACCCTGACTTGACTTTCCAAATATTTTAAAATCAGGAGCGTTAGCGGATTAATGGCTAATTACCTTTGCTAAAGCTAATTACCTTTGCTAAACTATCCATAAATGTAGAGACAGTCTGCTTTTGTTCATCTGTTGGTTTTTCTGGATAGTAAACGCTCATCGTATGCAAAAGATTCCATGTGGAACGGCCTGAACTAACATTCTGAATCGAGAATTCTTCAAACTAAACAACAAAAAGAAATGTAGCGGTTATTGATGACCGAAGGCAAAAAAAAAAAANAAAAAAAAAAAACAAAAATTTTTGTTTGTTCGTTAAAAATCCTCATTAAATGAACTTTACTTACCAAGCTCATCTTTATCAACGGGGCACTGGTCATAGCCACGAGGCGACGATGACTTCTTCGATTCCAACTTTGAACTATTTTCTGCATTATCTAAAAGTTGAACAGTACACCACTCGCTGTCTGATATTTTTCAGATGAATAACTGTGAAGTAGCCATTCCCAAGCTAAGCACCACAATAGTAATCACCCTTAACACTGCTAATGCTGTAATTTTACGTCTTGGGCTGCACGAAAGAGACTTTTTATAATACATCTCCTTATTCGGACGATGTTTACCCGCTTTCACCTTCTTCGAGTCCTTCAGGATAGTGGCCACCGATCCCGGAAAAGGCGAAAGCGTTGAAACGTCAGCCAAATAAGGGGTTGCTAAAAGCCTCAGTCGTATGGCTTGAGAAGTAAAAGCTACATTTGGAAAAAACGACAACGCTTATTAAGAGTGGAAATTGAGATTTTATGAGTTCAATGCAGGGCAGAGAGTTCTCGGGCAATCTTATGCTGAAGTTAAGAATGTTCAAGAGCTCCCTGCCCCTGCATTGATCCCATAAACCTGGTCGATACACTATGTCAGTAGTTTTATCTCCACGGCAACTAAGCACTGATTGTCGGATTTCAGAGGGATTTCGAAAGGAATAAACCATTTGCCCTAACAGAAAAGCTGCACAACATTGAATCCGTAGCCATATAGCAGACATACCTCTAGCTTCGTCAGTCATTTTAACAAACTTTTTAGCACGTTGCATCAATTCTTCCACGCTTGCGCAAGCTCTGCAGGGCTTACCATCAGGACCAAGTTCCATTACTGAAACTAATTTACGTTGTACTTCTCTCGCGTACGATTAACTAAGTCAATCAAGTTGGATTCTAAATATAGACTACTGAAATCCAGCATATACCTACTACTTCTACAGTATCTAACATTTTTCGGTTGAATAACAACAATAACACGCTAAAGTATCTCCTCTCCAGCTTTCCCTCACTAAATCGTTCCCTACACTTCAAAGCTGCTGAAGCTCCTTGATTAAGTGCATTCGGCAGGCAACACTACCTCGCGGGGTAGTTTACCCTCCACTCAACGTCTGTGTTGAAAGGAGTTTTCCGTAGAGGATGTGGGAGATCGTATTTCACAGAAGGGTCTAATCAAATCCGTCTACTCCTCGGCAAAATTCTGACGACACTTGAGGGTTTGATTAGAGCTAGATAACCTCAACTAATGTTCAAAATATAACCACTAACTTCTCTCAGGCTCAGGTACACACCTCGCCTTCGGTCAGAATTTGTGGAGCCAATTTGCCCCAACCACGCTCACCTTTCTAGATATATTCGAGGTAAGTGTGCTAGACGCACCATTCACATGAGCAGGAATGCCCACCGTTCAATGAACGGACGAGACGTTTTGGACGTCTACACCTTCTGCCTTGCCTGAAAACATCGATAACAATATCAAATGAAGCAAAACAACCCCAGATGCAGACGACAGCAAACCGACAGATAAGCAGTTCACAGTTATTGACAGCATTCTACTTCATCGTACATTACCATTATTGGTTCCATTACTTTAACCCATTGGCGACCGCACCTTTTATATTGTCCTCACATTTACTTTTAATTTCTTTTACAACTGTTGTTGGAAATGAATGATTCCTGGACCATAATGCCTTGAGATTCTCTAGAAGGCTGTTAGCTCAGCTGATACTTGAAAACGCGGAAAAAATTATAAGAATACTTGATAAATAATATAAATACCACGGGGGCACGATAGGGGTGTGGCCCGCCGGTGGGCCACGCGGTCGTCAATGGGTTAAAACTCGCTTAATTTCTAACGGACTAAATCTCTCAATACGCTTCGCACACAAATGTTCCATTCATTAGTAAATTCTGAAACTATATAGTGAAATTAGCTCAAGAAAAGGTGCCGTTTAGCCCTTCTGTAGGTGTGAAAGCACCCCTTCCTCGATACTAGGCAAGGAATGGGTGATATTCTGAATGGTATCCCCACAAATTTGTTGAAAATGAGAAAGTTAAGCTGCCTCAACCAGAATTTCGAAGGGGCAGGTAGCCGATTTATCGGCATGGTCGCTGTCAGCAGTCCCGTTCCCTCATCCAGATCGAATTTTTTGATGTTTTCAGGAGATGGTTCCTTGAATACAGGAGATGTTTGCGTTCGATCAACCTCTGTATTCCCGAAAAATATGCCCTCACCCGTTAAGTAAAGCGCAAGCGCAAAAACGAAACCACGTTGAAGATGTGGTAGAGCCTGGTCTCACAACGAACAGAGAGCCAAAACTCGTCCGTTAATTTTTTTGGGCAGTTTAGGAGGCATTCCCTCCCTCATCAGTATTGTACCCTACTGGTCAGTTCCCCTTCCACAACAGCTTTTTGCGCGAGGTCAGCATCTGCCATCTGCTCCTCCACTTCTTGAGCTTAACCGTTAAAGATTTCATCCATCTGGCTCAGAACCGTTCTATCACGCCATTACATGTCTTCGGCTATTGCAATCCTTGCAGCGCAAAGGACTGGCCGAACTCCCGTGCTTCTTTGCGCTACCCGGATTGCAATAGCTATGGAAAGTTGTCGTGTCCTAAATAGGGATCCAGGGTTAGCCGCATGGGCACTAAACTACAGAGACCTAAATCCCTTCATATACCTCAAGCCACGTTCTGTCCAACTCAACTGGAAAACGATGATAATGAATTGAGTGTGGGATGGTCAGTGTGAAAATCGGCTACAGCATGTGGCTGCCTTCGAGAATTTCCTGAGTGATCAGAACAACTTCATTGCAAAAGTTAGGCTTCAAAACAGCGGGTGGCGTTTCACGACGAGGCTTTTTGACTCTCGTAAACATGAAATCAACGCCAGTTACGTGACCAGAGTGACGTCCAGCTGTTTTTGTTGACGTCGTCTACTTTGTTATCGATATAAGATGCCGTAAAGCCAACTTTTTTTCTTTGTAATACCCTTTGGATTTTGAGTTTTTCAGCTTGATGGAGAGTGGAGATTCACAAAGCAGCTACTGATTAACTTACCTCTTTCACCGCTACAGCAATTCTTTGAACCTTACGGTGAAATGAAATGCAATGGACGCATAATTTCACAGATTAGGAATTTTCTCTTACAGCCTTACCCTATTCAAACGCCAAATCCTCAATCTGACACGTCTATAGCATATCAAAAAGGGACTTCAAATGACAAAACGAGGCAGATGGTCAGGGTAGCCAGGTGGCTATACATTGTGTTACGACCACCCGATCATTTCAGGTACCCATTGCCAGACTACTGTAAGGACTGCGTTTCGTACTAAATTTTCGTTTCTGTTGGAGCTATCTCATTAATCACTCTCCCCTAGAGGGATGGAATGATTGGTTAGCCCAGGCAAGAACCGCGGTTCGTGCGAATGGGGTAGGGCGCCACTTACAACTACACCACCACTGGCCCTAACCAGGTTCAATATTATTACCAATTGAAGGAACCACTAATCGAATCTATGGATTTCTCTGCACACATCTTCACCGACTTTACGCAGAGCAACACCTTTTTTCAATTTTCATGTATAAATGTAACAAACGGCCTTAAGAGTGAACAGAATTAAGCGCGTCAGAAACGTACTTAAGCGGAAGGACGAGAAGTACGAACCGTTCCATCTCACCTACGAAACCGACTCATCGAGAAACAGAAAGAAAAACAAAAGAGTGGTGATCGTCGGCAAGAAGGGATGACAAGAAATTGCAGTGATGCAACACTGTTTTTGCGAAACTACTGTAGTTTATGCATAACACGGTCTGTAACTTCACAAAGCACATGCTAGGCTGCGGCTCGAAATCTCGAAGGGTGCCAGCTTACTCCAACGGAGGTCCAGTATACTGTTTTAGCTTTCGGGTGACCTTCAAAGTAGGAGAGCGATCATAGATGTTCTGTGGGACTTTGCTCATAAGCGGTTCAGAAACGTGAAATCGTAGATACAAAGGTTAGTAGTCCGCTACCTGAATCTTGCGAATCGTGGAAGGAGGGAAATGCTGAACCGGTTGGACCAATTTGATGGTGTTGAAGTGATTCCTTCCACAGTAGAAGTCCTTTTACCATCGTTTAATTTCAATAGCAATGAGGTTCTGTCTCGAGAACTCAGAGAGGCTACGTGACCCTTGCTGGCTTACCATGGCATGTGTGGGTGAAGAATTTGCGGGCGTGCAGTTGGTATGTTGCACATCGGATCAGCCAAAAACCTGCGTGTGACTGGGAAGTAGTCAAAACTCACGATTGTAGAAAGACCGCTGGGAGGTGTTGAAACCTCACCGTCAGTCAAGGCTGCCTGAACTATGAAGGACCAGTGTAGCTTATGGACCTCCTCGGTCATGACGACTCTATGTCGATCGGGCAGAGCACCGGTGCCACTGTTTCAGTATGAAGGGCGCAACGCGATCTATTCATCTACTGCAAAATTGGCATCTTGATGGTTGATGGATTTTTCACTTTGGAGTAAACCAGGAGATTGGTAATCGTAAGGGCTCAGGCCAGGCGACCTGTAGGGAAGGTGAGTAGCCAGGTGGTACCAAGACTCTCCAGCTCCTCCGTATTGAACTCACTCTTCACACTCAAACTTCGTGCTCGGATATGGTTGCGGGATAACGGCACAGATTGTTCATGCGAGTGACTTTTGCGTAGAATGTCGTAGATGGAAAGGGAACTAGAAGGCGTTCATTCAATTTCCCTCAAGCGTGAGAAGAATTGCACTCACAATCAGCACTGAACTGAGCACTAAGAGTAGCGGCATTGGGAGAAAGTGAACGTGCACTTTGAGGAGCTTCGTCGAGGCAAATCCCTCTTCAAGAAAAGACCGAACCAAATTACATGTGCAACACAACAAAGAACTAAACTACCGACCAGCTGTCATGCTGATCTGTCAATAGTCCCCTAACCTGCCATCTGTTCTACAGTCCCGCTTTGGCGCACTCGCGCGCAACATAAAGGATAAAAGGAAAGTGTTTGGCGTTAATCAATCCCGTCTAAGGGATGCGCCCCTGCACTCGACTTCCTTTCAGAATCGTAGTGGCGTAATTAGGGAGCATGTGGCCTACACAATAACTTGCGGCGGCCGATGTACAAGTCAGTGCTTTTATCCTCCCAGACGAATCTGGTGCCAATTAACCGACCCCGGAAAGATAGGAGGCTTGATTGACAAGGGCGGATATCGGTCGGGGACTAAAACCCGCGACCGCGCGTGTGATACAGTGCGCCACTTCCCACTACACCACCTCCGCCCCGAGAACCTTTTGCTTGGCTTTTCAGAGCTCACCATGTCAACTAATTAATTGGCAGCTGAAGTCTTTGCGAGTTGCTATGGACTATTACTCCACACACGTAGTAAGGACAATGCCTTGCTTGCGCTATATTCTTCTTGTTAGTGAGTTGGGAGCGAGCCGCCTATTTCAGGAAGCCTACTGATGCTTACTTTGTAAGTCTACAGTAAAATCCATCTCTCTTAGGACATCTTCACGAAAGGGCCCAGAAGGCGGTTCCTACAGCAAAAGTCTTTCCTTCGAAATTTTCGAGGTGATACGTCAGAGTGAGGACGAGAGAGGCAGATAGCCGCTAAGGTGGGACTCCCACATGCCGTATTTCCAGTGAAGAAAACTTCAGCGCCGGTCCCGTTAAGACTGGCTCAGGGCAGCTGAAGAGCTTCACGTCATTTATCGTCAAAACTCTTACTCAGCTCTTACGCGTTACATACCGGAATACGGGATACCAAGTGGAGGAAAGCCGACTGTGCCGGTAAGAGATATGAAGGGAGATGTAGATGGCATAAGTAACTGCCCCCAAATTAGCCTGCTGGCTATAATCTGCCAGCTCTTCACGCGAGCCATTTCGATAAAATCGGTAGAACAGTGCACGATGGGCATTCCTTCGAGCAGGCCGGTTGCAAAAAAGACTCAGTTCGATTGATCTCAGCCCTGTGGTTATGAAGCTCATTAAAGGATCTCGAGAGCCAACAATTATGCTACGTCGATATCCTTTTTTGATTCAAAAAAGATATTTGACATCATGAAGACAAAAGCCGTTATCCACGCATGCTGTTCCTACTTGAAATGTAAGGATACTGAGCGCGGTTTCAATACCAATCATTTCACGAAGACTCGTCAAAGACGTGAAAAAAGGTCTGACTTTTGTCAGAGTACGTAGGCATAGGAATACGGGGTGAAAGTTGCTTGCGCAGGCACAATCATGGCTGCGTAGTCCACGTCGTGCTTACAACATCGAGAGCTAAGTGGGAGAAACGAATTCGGCTGTATTCGGAGTGCTTGTGTGAACGTCGCACAAGAATAAACCAAGAAAGAAGGCTATCATGAGGAACTGAATAATTCCTGATGTTCCAGATAGGTGTATTTATGCCGGAAAACCAACATGGCGTATACAGAAGCTAAGCTTCAGAAACTGAGCGATGTGGGGACATTCAAGAATATCGAGGAAGTCCTGAAAAGAACCAACATTGGGTTCCCTGCCCACTGCTAAGATTTGCCGTTTTTTCTGCCTTAACTTACGCCTCAGAAACTTTTACTATGTGACTCTCTCGTGCGATCAGCGACGTTCAACACTGTGGAAAAGACAATACTCCGAGTTCCCAGATACATGCAAGTGCAAGGGGAATCGGAGTTCAACAAGGAACGGGGAGAGAGTGCAAACGCGACGGAATCGAAGATCAAACAGGCCTGATTACCCTATGGCAGACTTCTACGAAAGCACTGAGTGGAAGAAGTCGCTTCCGTCCTTCAAGGGGGGTTCACTGGGTTTCCAAAAAAAAAAGGTCTGGTCTTCGCCTTGCAAGAGCGAGTAAGCCATTAGCTTGTCCGGGAACGCTATTGCTCACATCAAGAAACAGAAGATCAGGTGGGCCGGGGTGGAAAGTCAAACGAACATCTGGACAGCCACCAGTCTGATGGTAAGACAGACTTCATCACAAAAGCTCTTAACATAATGAATGTTATGCTTTGAGCCCCTCGAGCGAAGATAGCCCACAAGTCTACACTGGCTCGCATTAAATAAGTTTGCTCGAGGAGATCGAAATCAGTGGGATGACAGATGATACAAGTGACCCTAAATAGCGGGATTTCACGGGATCACCTTCACAGAACAATGGCTCGATTGGTGATGTATAGTGACGAACATTTTCCCTCGACGGTGTTTATCTCGCTTTATTAACTTGGAGAGATGCGGCACGAATTTCCCTGTCATTTTTCCTTTTACTAAAAGCAATGACTGTGACTGTTTCGCTTGCATTTTCTCATCATTGCCTTCTGAACTCATCGAAACTTTCATCTCGGCACACAATTCAAAAAAAAGGAATAAGTAATTCAAATAAAGTCAAACAAAAGGAAGAAATACATACTCAGTCCGCAAACGAATCCTACGAACAGACGGCTTAGATAACGGCTGCAAGTATTTGCAGGCTACTCTCTTCATACAGCAAGCTAGCAGACGTTGAATAACTCATACGAGTACAATCTTCAACTTCGGAGTAACGAAAATTCCAAAAACTTTGCCATTGCCTTTTGCGCTGTTGCATCATAACTACTCGTAAATTAGTGCGCAATAGTCGTAGAGTACGCGCAGACAAAACACTATATTTTTGATCTACCATTATTTCAAATTTTTTCACGATTTTTGTAATTAGTAGAATTTGTTTATATTTCCGCGATATTTCCACTACTTCTAATCGAGTTCTGATAAAAAATAGTTTCTTCTAGTCAGGTCTTGCCGAGGGACAGTGACTTTGATGGCAATGTATATTGTTCACTTCCTCAATTTTCGTTAGGGGCCATTTCATCGTATAACTAATCGGATCTATTTTTCTGTTACAAGGACACGCTTGACCAAACCTATTCCTTGCCGGCACACCGAGCATTGGGGTACACCCGTCCTTTTGGATGAAATTCGCATACAAAATTCATTCCAAATGGAAGCCAGTTCTAAGAGAATTTCATTACCCTTTTCATGAGAGAAGTACCACCTCCATGCTGATATCAAAGAAATCGTTAAACAAATCGAGTGTGAAAGAAGTGCATTACGCGAATCGATCGACGGACGGCAGGGAAAAAATGGCAGTGGGCGCCGACGAGTGCCGGCGAACGGTGATGGGCTTGGCGGGCTGCACTCTCTGCTCCTTCAGATCACACCCGTCTGGCTCTTTACAGTCGGACTGGTCTTTTACTGTTCAACTCATATTGGAAGTATAGCTACGGGTTCGGACCCACTCTCCAGCAATTTTTCAATTTAAAGCTTCCAGATTACGCCCGCTTTATTTCAGAAAGGTCCTCCCATATTTAGGTATTTTCTGTGGGTAACTGCGTTCTCCGGCTGGCTAATTTTAGAAATTACTTCTCAATATATCTTATAATGAAGGCATTCTCTGCACGACGGCAATTTCGTTTGCAGCACTTGGATTCCATTTTAATGTCTTTGATCTCCGAGACTGATTGTCCGTTTAGAGTCCGCGAAAGTCGCCGCAGTTTGACCTCTTTGTACAAGAGATCACGATCGATTTACAGTTCTTCGATTTCTTTAATTGATACACGAGTCAAAGTTTTGTCTAAGAAGAAACCGCTTGTTAGAATAGATTTGCTACCGCCAGGCCGTCTATCCCATCTGGATCCTATTGATCGTCAAAGAAAAGTTCGGGAACAGATTTTTAGACGTTGCTTGAGCTTGGCGATTAAATTTATGACGTATAATAAATATGAATATCGATCGTCCAGCTCAAGACTGGATGCTCGCCATCACAGTAACCTTGGATGCTTATTCATATAGAGGATGCAGACGAGCAGAAACCGGCGACGTGGAATGCCATCCCTCACCGCTCCTCGAGCCAAACTGCATCGACCCATGTCCTCTACGGGATCCCGTTTCAAGGAAAACCTTGAACTCTATAAAAGGGCCATTTACTCAGAATTTGCCGAGACCCTAATCACAAGTCCATAAAGTGTTCTTGCATATTCATGAAGCCTGTTCTACGAATGCAATCGGAAGAATTGATGCCATTTGCGTGTTACAATGATAACGCCTTCAAGGAATCGAATCAAATGTTCGCGTTTGTTCGTGATTTTCTCTTTCCTTGCGATCTCCTCTCTGGCGTGTTGATGGAATCTAACAGCAGACGCTATCATTATGTTGAATGTTGTCGTTCAATGCCGCTTTCGTAACTAAACTTTGCCCTTGCACTAATGATTATCGATTGTCATTTCCTTTTAATTCTCTAAGTTTTTGTGAATTCTCTGTTTTTATGACTCTTGGTGAGTTTTTCAGCCTCTACGATCATGTCGGCGGGGGATAAGCAGACAATCCCGAACGGTGTCAAGTTCGTTTTTGGCGGCTCAGCAGGGTAAGCAATGGCTACTCCTATCTATGATTTGAATTTATTCGTCTTTGCTTTCTAATTTTCTTTTTTATGACCTGTAGAGAGCTTAGAATTTTTTTTTGGTATTATCTTTAACGTTATCAAGACCACCACTCAGCTTTTGTTTGTTTTGTTCGTGAACCGCTGGTCATACCGCAGTTCACAAGCAATGTAATCTCAAGAATGCTGAGTTGTGGTCAAAGCTGGAATTTGAACCCACCATGCTGCTCGGGTTCCGTTACACTGATCCTCTGCACTTTAGCCCCACATACATTCCCCTTTGATCTCAATGGCTTGTTCACTCCGCTTGTCAGTATCCACACGTACGACATCATGAGCCTGTTGGCCGACCTCGGGATAGGTCATTAAACAGAAGGCTTCGATTGGTGTTTGGAAAGCTGCTCACAGGGCTGCCGAGCTAAATAGAAGGTGTACTATATAGAATAAGTACGATTTTACGATCCATCGATTCGCTATCGGCCAAAGAGGTCGTTATTGTGAGTGGTGGGAAGCTGTGATGAACAAACCATTGAGATCAGAAGAGGGCGAGAGCACACAGGATCGATCGTGTTACGACTAAATACCGTGCTGAGAAATACACAGGAGCCCTGTTTTAAGCAGGACCTTTTGCCCTCCCACAGAACTCCTACAGTAGCTAAGCTTCATAGCTAGCATCATAAGGCAGTCATTCCAGTGTTAAGGGAAAAAAATGAGTTAGAGAGACTGGTACGATATCTATTACTCCGATATGGGAAGGAACTAGTTCATGGCGTCGTTAATGGCAAGTTGCAAATTCCACACTTAGAAATTGTAATGGCAAACCAAGGACTAATTTTTGCAAAATAAATTCCTTTCAAAAGCATAGGTGGAGCGGAGAACAAAGGGATCTAGCAGAAAAGTAAAGAGTTTGCTCAACTCCCGTGTTTACGACTTGGGTTTCATGCATTCTTTGTACTGGTCCATGTTTATATAGAAAAGCAGTGAGATTATTTTTTCGAAAAAAGTGTAGATAAGAAAGGTTACATTCGATCTGTGAGACTCGAACTTTATTAGTTTTTCTTCCAGTAAAAAAAACTGAATTAAACGATAGCAGAAGATATTGAGATAAAAGAAATAACAGTTGTACGAGTTACTTGTTTTGTAGAATGGGAGCCACCCTGTTCGTCCAGCCATTGGATCTTGTCAAGAACAGAATGCAGTTGTCTGGACTTAGTGGTAAGCAGTAAGCTATCAATATTTGTACATTTATTGGAAAAAAAGAACTTCGATCAGGCCCCATGCACAACTTCATCGTTACCCCGATAGATCATTCAAAGGGAATCTGCGGAAGGGGGTCGTTAATTTGAGGTTATGGGAAAAAAGCTTCCGAAAAAAGACCCTCTGCGATGCATTATAGACGTTCTAGGTTTTTTTTTGCACTCCGAATCCCTGCTCAATAAAAATGACCGATTTATTAGAGTGAGTGCGTATATGGGGACGTAGTGATGGAATACGCTTGGAGTTTCCGCGATTTTAAAGAACAGGTGCTTCATGCACCAGCAGCCCACAAAAAGAATTTTCTTCTCAGTGTTTACTATTTGACGAGCCTTATGGATACGGTCCCTCGGATATCTCATACAAAGTCCATAAAGTCCTTGATCCGAAGCCTCTATCAAAATAAAAAAATAGCATACTTCATTTTAGGTAAAAAAGAGTACCGTTCGAGTATTCATGCGTTGACGTCTATCGTCAAAAATGAAGGTGTTTTGGCTGTATATAATGGCCTTAGCGCCGGTTTGCTCCGTCAAGCAACTTACACCACTACAAGATTGGGTACCTACACATACCTTTTCGAATACTTCAAAAAGTAAGTGCTGATCAGGTAAAGTTCATGTTCTCCAAGGTTTTATTTGAATTGGTTTTACTTCAGAGGCGATGCCCCTCCATCATTTGCCATGAAAGCTTCACTGGGTATGGCTGCAGGAGCAATAGGATCCTTCGTTGGAACACCAGCAGAGCTAGCGTTGATCAGAATGACTAGTGAGTTACTTCGGGCGCTTGTTGATCGGCAATCGGTGATATTATAGTTGATCTTGCTGTTAAGGTGATGGTCGACTACCGCCCGAGCAGCGCCGTAATTACAAAAACGTATTCGATGCACTCATACGTGTTGTGAAGGAGGAAGGTGTCTTCACTTTGTGGAGGGTGAGTCTAAGCCCAGTATTTTTGGCGTTTCATTTGGTCTACCCTTCTGAAGGGAATCTTTTTGGACCAATTGATTGGTATTTCAAATTTGTTGCTTCGTTAGGGCTGCGCACCTACTGTGATCCGTGCAATGGTCGTGAATGCTGCCCAATTGGCAACATACTCCCAATCGAAACAAGCGTTGCTGGAGACGGGCTACGTTCATGATGGTAATATTTTGCGTAGCGTTTGTTGTTTTTTTGAGCATTTCTCGTGCTAAGAACTGGCACGTTTCCAACGAGTCATTTAAACTGGTTAAGGCATTTTCTGTCACTTCCTCGCCTCTATGATTTCTGGTCTCGCAACGACAATCGCGTCGATGCCTGTGGATATTGCGAAAACTAGGTAAGCCGATTCTTTCAAGCGATTTGGGTTTTAGTTGTATGCAGTGGAGACGTGCGGAAGGACTTGTGGACATGCAGAGGCTCATTTGCATGTGATATGCTTGCTTTTTGAGAGAATGCACCCTGCTTACATAAATCACCACGTAATCTAGCTGGAAAAAACCTAAGCGCGGCTGTGACTTTTCTTACGAGCATGATTTAGGGTAAGACCGGCAACATTTCTTCATAACAGATTCAGCTTGATTAGTTTGAAATATTTAGGTGCGATAATTTGTGATAAGAAGCCATAATTGCGCTTACTTTCGATTGACGACCATGTGGGATGAGCGCTTCTTTAGCTCAGATGAACAGCAAACATCTAGACAGCACAGCACATACATTTGTGACACCGTCCAACAAGCGCGTCAGCATCCGCAAAAACTGGATTCAGTGTCTGCAGGCAACTGCTTCCGTTAAATCAGCGATACAATTCAAGACCAGCAGGGAAAACATCCGAGAGGGAGGGGGTGTCCGTAATGAGGCTCAGAAATGAACGAAAAATTTTCCATTTCCGGCCGTCACCATAGGACTTGGGTCTTGTAGGGTCGGAGCTCTAATGTCCAAGTACAAATTTGAAAAAAATTTGAATTTCGTTACATTTTTATATTTTAAGAATCCAATCAATGAAAGTGATCGATGGCAAGCCCGAGTACAAGAATGCGCTGGACGTTTGGATGAAGGTAAGAAATTGATAATGACTTATGCCTCTCTTACCGAAACATTTGTTTCGCTGTAGTTAAGACATGGTTCAGCCTTTTTCAAGTTACTAACTGCCTCAATGTTCAGGTTATTAGAAACGAAGGTGTGTTTGCATTATGGAAAGGTTTCACACCATACTACATGCGTCTTGGACCACACACTGTAATCACGTTCATTTTCTTGGAACAAATGAATGCTGCTTATTATAAGTACGTTCTGGGAATCGAAGCAAAAGCTGGTCTTTGAAGAGCTAAAACTTTTTTTTTTCTGCAAACCTCTAATTGTTAACAGTAACCAACCAATTAATAACTGATTTATGTAGCATTTTTAAGTAAGTACTCACCAACACACAGCTTCTGATGATGTTGTATTGATTGGTTGTCCAGTATTGAATTGTTCGGTGACGAATTGCTCCGTTGGTTTGAGTCTTTGTTACTTTAGGAGTAGGCAACTGTGATGGTTTTGATCAAACCCCCCTATAATTAGATGTAGTCACTGGTAGATTTGTGCAATTTTTTGTGGTTTTTTATTTCAAAATTGTAACATCTTCGAATTTTCATAAATAGACTGGCTTATAAGTAGTAGGATAAAGATGTTATCACAAGATGTTTGTTATTATACCAAGGTACTGACCCTCAACTTCCTATCGGTCGTTTTTGTTCAAGTAGTATAACATCCTACGCATGGCACTTATCGAAAACCGCGCCCCTTTCACAAATGTTGCCTGTGAAAGCGGCTGCGTTGCGGTGTGAAGCTCCCACTTCACTTCGCCCACTTCCCCCAGAGCAAGTTCTCCTGGTGGCCTTTATCTGACGTAAATTTCAAGCTCTCTATTTGCTAGACGAGGAAATCAATGGTTCATCGTCTCAATGGCTTCACTGGTTAAAATATGCTCTCGAGGAGTAAGAACGATCCATCATTCGAATTTTCGTTCTCCATGGCCATTCGTGAAGAAAGGTAAAGGTTTTAACGATATGATTATGTGTAAGTAATTAGGTATTTGGAGTAGAAAGCAATGATAAGATTCTCAGGGATCAGCCTGAAATACATCGGGTTTGAACGGGAAGGAGGGAAGGGGCCCTTTATATTGTGATGCAAATGGCGACTGTATCACTGGCGCTAATAAGGCCCCTACTTGCTGAACAAACATTTCAAAGTAGCGAAAGAAAGACCCTAAATTGCTTTCGAGATTCCTTGAACATCGTCATGGACATTCGTACTTGGACAACTGTCATTGTGTAAAGCGGACAGTCTAACTTGAAGGGGAGCGCACTGCTTTAATGCAGTACGTATAATGAGTCAAGTGTAAACGAAAAAACAATTGGAAAAAATCAATACTTTGCATTGGTTATGAAAAAAATTACAAGAAATCTCCCGAAATCACATATTTTGCTATTCTTTTTCTTGAGATGAAGGAAATCACTCCGGTCTTCAATAATCAGGTACTCTCTTTTGATCCTTACGTTCTTCCATATTAATTGTAAAATGTGAATGGAGAATGTAAAACTGTGGTTTAAGAGACCGTGCTGCTGAGAAAATATGGATTTTCGTTGGAATTTTATTTACTTTTACTTTTTTAATTTTTATTGTGCACAGATCTAGACCTTCATATCGGAATCCTAATATTAATGATCACATTACATCAATCGATTGGTTAAGGAGCATATGGTCAAAGGAAAATTGGACCTTTCAACATCGAGAAGCACAAGTGGCCTGGTCAAAACCGAGAATTTCCAGAATTATCCCCCAAATGGCATAAGGAGAACCCAGAGCAATTACACAGGTGAATAAATATCCAGATTTTCAGCAGATTCTTTTCTCCTGGTTTTTCATCGAGGATGGGATGGTATTTGCTTTCCATCATATGTAGTGTATCAATAACCTATTGGAAGAAATGAAGGGCTCACCATCCTTTCCTCGAAATCGTTACAATTTAAAAGTTTATAATATCTTTCTACACTAGACTGTGAAGCCTAAGATTATTATAACAATGAACGGATTTCAGTATTCTTTTAGTGCATTAATTCTTTCATTCGAGTGTATTTTCGTTGTTGCCGTTACTGTTGAGTAGTTGTTTTTACAGTGTTCTGCGTAATTTTAGGAATGTTCGAGAACATTTTCAAAATCTATTCATGCATTCAAAACTGTGGCAAAAGCTGAATTCCTTGTAGTCTTTCATCATTTTTAATGTAAAAAACTATTTTGTAATTAGTAAAGTCGATATTTACTTTGAAGTTCTTGTTTTTTGACTATCTGTTTTCGTTAGTTTTCTTTTGTTTCTGTTGATTCTTTCTATGTTTATTTATTGCTCAATTACGTCAGTAGTGCAGAGAAAGTTTCTCTAACTATTCACCCCTCTCTGCGGTGTCTGTGATTTTGACTTCAACACAGATCCCCCAAAATTCCATCAGCTCGTGCAAAGGCTCAGATTGGAGACTCTTCACAAACTGTTTCGAGGATTTTTGTGGAATTCGTGAAAAACCTAAATAATTATAACCATGGACTTGGTCAATTTGAGGTATACGGGCGCCCACGATGAAGGTTATGTCGATCCCGTTACTGGAGAGTTTGTTGTGGTCCCGGAAATGCAAGCTAAACTTGTTGTACCAAATTTAGAAGGGTTCAAGTAAGTGCTCTTTAAACTTAAAGCTGTAATACTTGTGGTCTGTAATAATATGTAATGCTGTAATACGGGTGATCCTATACTCTACAACTTTTAGGTTGAAGCCTTACGTTTCATATCGAACCGACGTAGAAATAGAAAAGAGGAGGCGAATATATGAAGCCAAGGTATTATAACTTTTAGCTTCTTTTCTTACGGTAAGCTTATGATCGAGCTGTTCATTTAGGTAAGAGAAAAAGGTTCAAAAGCTCTAGCCGACCTCTACACACTTGAGGACCAACGCTGGCCCCCACCAAAGATGGATGCTGAAACTTTGTTCGAGTTGTCATATGGGGAACAGATACGGCAGGCTTACAAAGTGAGTATGGCTAAACTTCGAACTTTTACCATCCATGAGTTTACTACAGTTTACCTACACTTAATCCCTACGACTTATACCAGGCGCAAGTTTTGCATTTCAATTTTGGGGATAATTAATATTTGTAGCTAACAGATAACTTCCCACTGATTAAATGGGTTAAAAACTTGGCAGAAATCATTACTAGCAAGTTGAGGGATTCATTGAAGGTTTCGTTCCAGGAACGAAATTCATAGCTTACGAGGTTATGATGAAAATCCCTTCCCCCAGACTGGTTGACCTTTTTCGTTAGGCCGTGATAGCATTATAACGAGCCGTTTCAAAATGACATAGTAATAACCCCAATTCGCAAAATTATTCGGCCTTTTCACATTACTTCGGCACGTTTCTGAAGTAATCTATTGTTGTTTTTCTTTACATCAAAATAGTCATTTTAGGAAGGAAAATATGGAACTGTGGAGGATAAAAAGGATGAGAAATCATGACACCTCATGCTTTGCTATAGCGTGCTTTGTATAGTTTTTAGATCCTACATTTGGAATAGTAATTGTTTTAGGATTTTCAGATTGTTAATGGTTGCGCGAAATTGTTAAAACGAATAAAATGTTGGCTCACACTCTGTTCTTCAATTATTTTGTAATAATGGCAATCTGCCCATTGTTTGAAAAATTACATTACTATTATTACTAAATTATAAATTACGTTATTATTATTATTACATTGTAAGGCTACCTTTTGATGCTTTTTAATATTTAGCATGTCGAAAACTGCCCTTTTGATTCTTGCTGATGGCGCCGAAGAAATGGAAGCTGTGATTACGGCCGATGTACTGAGAAGAGGTGGTATTGAGGTACTACAGGTTTTGTTTACAAATAAAATATTAGGAAGTAGTCCATTTTCAGTTCAAAATTGCTAATTGCCTATGTTGAAAAACAAACCGTGTGGGAATGCGAAAACAAAATGCTCAGATGCTCCCGACATCTGTTGAGGGACATGTGAAATTTCCTTAGGGAGCCAGTTTTCCCCACAATGGGCCTGGGTGTGTAGTCTGTCCAAAAACCGATTGAAGTAGGAAAAGTGTGGGAATTCCAAAAATAAGGAAAACAAAAAAATCCCGGAGTTGAAGGTTGACAAAGCATCACAGGCAGGAGAACTGGGATTTTATAGAGTTGTCATCTTCAAGGGCAGACGGAGCAGCTCAGACGCTCCCAGATTTCCCTTTGCTAAGAAAGCTATTGAGCAGGGTCCTTTCAATCTGAATCAGTAATTATTTATACCTCTATCAAATTTTATCTTGAATAATAAATAGATAAATACTGCAATTTGTTCCTATACATCTTTACAACTTAACTATTTATTTCATTCTTTTCAAGCGGTAGTGGTGAAGGTTCATATCTAGGTAGAAGGTGCCATCATAGAAAAATGATGAAATGTGCTGCAAGTTTAGGTGACTTTGGCTGGTTTAAATGGACCTGGCAAAGTGACATGCGCAAGAAAAACGGTGATCATTCCCGATCGTGATCTGAAAGATGTACAGTCGACTACCTTTGATGTGGTTATTCTCCCTGGAGGACAACCCGGAAGCAATACGCTAGCCGCCGTGGGTTATGATTGCATCTTAACCTTTTTTTGTCGCGCAATTTCGAAAACTACTAACTGATTATTGGAAACCCTCCGTTTTTTGGAGTAGCGCTACTTAACTGTTACTGTCTACCGTATATATTAGATTTGTAAAGGATAAATGCAAGAACTGTAATATTTCCTATTGTAGAGCCCAGTAGTTGGACAAATACTGAAAGCTCACCATAAAGCCGGCAAATACGTGGCAGCCATTTGTGCAGCTCCGATTTCGTTGAAGTCGCATGGAATTCCAGCCGCATTGGTGACGAGCCATCCATCTGTTCGTTCCCAGTTGGAAGAAGGAGGTATGGACCTAAATTTGTTGTTTTATGTTGATTTGTCCAATCAGTAATCATAATAAACAAAGGATTACCTGTATTAGGGCTTGTACTCCTTCGAAATAGAAGGCTCGACTTCTTGTTAGGCTCTACTCTGTTTCAGGATTCAAATACAGCGAGGACCGTGTAGTGGTATCTGACCTTGTGGTGACAAGCCGCGGTCCCGGTACAGCCTTCGAATTTGGGTTGAAGCTCGTCGAATTGTTGGTCGGTGCTGAAAAGTCCAAGAGTTTGATCAGCCCGATGCTACTGAAAGTTTAAAACCTCGAAGCATTGCCTGAAGATAAGTAGAATATAGAATACTTTTTTCTTTACGTGTAGTTTTCCGGTGTTTCTAATAGTTTTAGAAGACCAGTAAATGCTTAACTGGTCATGGTTTTCTGTTTAGAAGATTTGTTCAAGTTGTTTTTCTAATATTTTGTGGAATTTTTTTAATAAAGTAGTTTAGCGTATAAGATTCCGTCTTTCACTCATCTTGTAGCTACCCAGATACTTCGTAGATGAGCAGGTAAATCAAATTTGGTTCTAAGTCGAATCCAAATCTAAATAATGACAGACGGTTCCAATGTAATGCCACTCCATAACGGCATATAAAGTCGCCCACAGGCCATGATAGTCCAGAGACTGTTGGGAGTTGTTTACATACGATTGTTTTTCCAGTTGTTGTTCGAAAGAAAAATGGAGGTTTGTTCGTCTAAGAGCGTTCCGTTACCAAATCGACCATCCCATAAGGTACCCACTCATCTACTACAACAGCCTACGCTTTTTCTACCATGCTTTTACGTGAGACATCTAGCTAGTTGCATCCTTTGCTCGTTAGTGAGGCCGCTGAAGGAACGGCAGTGCGTATGGGGCATGCACCACAAGCCACTGAGCCATGTCATGAACGCCTGGTCTATGGAAAAGGGGGTACATCCCAGAGGTCTGATTTCAACGGCTGCTTTCATAGTCCACGATTTGGGCCGCGAGCGAGCGAACGACCGGGGGCGGCGCTGCCCCTTGTTTACAACTGAATCTTGGTCGATACCGCCGACCGAGTAGTCTCCAGGTCACTCGCTCGCTCGCGGCCCAAATCGTGGACTATGAAAGCAGCCCTGGCACAATGTTTGAAATAGCCGCGTGTCAGAAAAGTGACGGAGGAGCAGAAAATAGATAGAGCGGTTCACACAGTCAACTGAAGAATAAACAGCCTTCGGTGAACACTTGACGTTTGCGTCTACAACTCGTTCCTATCGACAATTCAGAGAAAAACCACTTTTAGGAGAGGTGTATTCTCCAAGGAGCTATCTGCCGCTCTCAGCACCACCGTTCAGGAAGATTCATCCCGTAGCCTGTACAAAACGGCGTCACTGGAATTTAGACTAGTGCTGTATTGTGTAGGGGTAGTTTAAGGGGACGACTTGTCTCGCATAGTAAACACGTCCACATGGCGAAGTAGTATCCTCATGAACTGCAGTAAGCCAAAGTATAAACAACAGAAAAGAAATCGTTCGCATACCAACTGCTACTTATCTAGGGACTGCAATGGCAGTTGACCCGATATAAATGACAATCAGCAAGTAACGACCTCTTCGTAACTTATCACAGACTTTAAAGGTAATATCGATTAGATCAAAGACAAGAATCGCACCAATAAAAGGGGACCTGCCAGAAATCAATAGCCTTTTAACTCATCGGTGAAAATCGTTGATAATCAGCATAAAATCTTTATTGATGACATGGATTAAGCACGATATAAATCACCTTATGTTATATACAAGTATGGGACTAGAACGAATAATTTTGAGAGTTTGATCACGTTTATAGATTTTGGGTTGAGTCATATATATGAGTGTTTAGTTGCACGATCAACTGGATCTCCACTGGAAGGGTGTGTGAAACAATGATAGGGGGTCTTAATGTGGTCTGAATTAGTCAAATATTTTTTTAGGAAAAAATAATTGAATAAACAAAAAAATAGGCGCCTAGGAAATGTACAAAAGACATATGTCGTACGGTAATATGCTCGTATTGAGGGCGAAATTAAAAAAACTGATACAACAATGACAATGGGACTGAATCAAAGAAGGGGTAGGGGCCTTATAAAGAGCATTACACACAATGAAGCGTATAAATAGTCAAAAATGGATGTAGCGGACGATGGGAGAGAGCTGACCAGTACATGCACGCGTACGCGAGGCTAATCGATAATTTGATTAGAACCGCGCTATGCCCAGGTGTGCGGAAGGAGGTGTACATATTGAGGGACAATGAAACGAAAATATATAGAAGAATTAACTACCACCAACAAACCACAGAAATGCACACACTGGAAAATTAGAGCGACCGCATTAACCACACATGGAAGCGCGTTGCAAGACCCACGGTGGATTACGGTAAAGCGCAAAGTGCGTATAGTTTCATGTAGATGAGGGTGACATACATACGACATCAGTAAATACGGCAGGGCGGTATCGGCGATTAGGTGGAGATGTGCTGAACCGGGCGAGACATAAGAAGCTAGCGATTTGTTGAGCTGAATAACCGCAATCCATAAAACACACATAGAATGGTGCCGCTCGGCGCGAGCCTGATCGATATATTTGACACGTAAGCGAGCGGACGCGCGGCATACGATCGGCACACAAATGTCGTATATTTGGGGGAGGGGCAGTGGTCAGGCGTAGCTCGTCTTCAGTTTTGAACACACACATTGCGGTCGACATGAAGTTGCTCGTCGCCGCCGTGGAGTTACCTAAACGGCAATCGATTATTGATTAGACGCGTATATACTTATTGATTGGAAGGGAGAATAATGCATACCTTATCGGTGGGAGAGGATTCGCTTGTGGAAAAATGAACGGTGATCAAGTTTTCTAACGTCACCAACATTGATTCCATATTAGCAATCTGTAATAAGTAGTAATGATTGATACTGAGGAATACTACGAAGTACAGGGACTATGTAACGGTGGGGGGGGGGGGATATTACGTGAAGCCGCTGACTCAGCTTACAAAAAATGGCTTCTGGACCGGGAATCTACACCGCTCCCGAGACGTCAACTCCAGAGACGTCACCTTCGGTTCCGTCCGGATTCTAAACTTAACTTATAACTCATTACTGTTCTATTTTATTAGCATATGATTGAGTAGGAATGGCGTCATAACATCGCTTGAATTTCCGAATGATGTGAAAAAAAAAACACCAGGATCTCAGCACAAAAATCATGAAGGATTAACTAAAATAGCTATTCAATCCTGTTCTTGAGGAAATTCCGTAGCCTCAGCTCGATGATAGCAGCTATTAGTTGACATCATCTTCGGAAGTTTTTATTCTTGATTCCTAGCTCTATGACGTTTTGTGCCTTGGAAATGACGATCTTTTACTGCTGATTAAACGCTAAACTCCAACAATTGCCATTCCCAATAATTTTTTTCTTCGATTTTAATCTCGAAAAACGCCTCAGGAAACCTATCATTGCTATTAGAGAGAATTATATGACGCCATTTTTCAAAAAAGTTATAATTGCTCTTAAAGAAATTCGAAAATCATTGGGATAGAAAAGGCAATACTAGGCAATACGGACAAAGTTATGCGAAAATAACCGTGGCAATCCCGCCCACTGCCCTGAAAACTGCTTTACTGTAGTCATGAGGGCTTCAGGCACAGTTCACGATAATTCCGAGGCAACCAGTTTAAGTGGAATAAGGGAAGTTATGATGCAGAATTGTGCGAAAATTGCGAAGGAGCGCGAATTAAGGCGATTTAAAGAAATATAAGACTATTCTAAAGTATGTAGTAAGAAAGAGGGTTTGTAAGAAATAAGGTGACAAATGAGGCAAACAAGGGGTATGTGGACGAGATGCCAGTGCCACATCAGGGTAAATGTGTTGGCTATAGAGGTCAAACATGAAAAAAATTGCTTCCGCTGTGTGCATTCGTAGTACTGACGGCATAGTTTATAGCATAAAAGAAAAAGAAAGTAAAGACTATCATTTCAAATCCCATATAAATGTGCCCGCCGCTGTGAACGGTGAAGCCTTAACAGCCCGCCACAACACGGCTGCTTCTGGGGTGCACCTAAGCCTAAGCCACAGGTTGATCTCAGAGGAAATCTAGTTTAACTTGAATGCTTGATCTATCAGCATGAAATAACAAAAATGTATGCTTATCAATGTTATTACTACACTAAGGAGGAGAAGGACAGATGAAGAAAAACCAATTATATCGAATTCTTAGTCAAGCAAGTCGTTGGTGTAAATGTCTTTCCAAAGGTTGAGCAAATAATGACAATGAAAAAGGTAAGCAGCCGTGAGGTACCGTACCTGTTGAGGGGTGATTGAAGGTTCGGTAGGTGCTGGAAATGTTTTTTCCAATGCTACACATCGTTTCATCTCCACCACATAAGCGGCGACACACCCGATAAATTGGGATGCGTGCCGAGTGAATTCCACGCCTGAAACAGAAGGGTGGTAAAATATGACCGGAAAAGAAATCAGTTAGAAATCAAAATACATTTCAATTTGAGAATTCAGGGATTTTAACGAAACAAAACTTAGACTTAACCTTAATGACAATCAACAATCAGGCCGGGAACGCAAAAATTTCGATCAATATGAACAACTGAACTTTTACGGAGAGACATTATAAAATTTTGCAGATTACCAATAGAAATGATTGGAACGTGATAAAAATTTTGTACTCAACATTTTTGTTTAGTGGATGCAAACTAAATGAAAACTAGTTGAATTTGAGAAAAAAGTTCACGGAGAAGCGTAGGAGGACTGAACTGGTAACTCTTGGTATACATGACATAATATCCAGTAAATGCTTTGAAAAAAGTTTAAAACGAAACTGAATTAAAACAAAAAGAGCGAAAACAATCTCAAGAAAACAGGCGTCAAATTACAAGCAAATATTTACCTTCATGCCGTAATTGCGGTAGAACACAATTCTTTGCAGCTTCACAAGCTTTCAAACACGCTCGTCCGGCAGTTTCCACTTCTCTGAAAAATCATGAAAGTTAATAACTAGCAAGTAAAATTTGTGGGTATGATGGTTAATAGATCGATAATGAAGATCGATAAACCAGAAAAATGGTTCACCTTCTCAGAGATGCACCGTCGTGGCTTGTTCCTATACCCTGCGTCGCGTTGCGAAACAACGCCAGTTGCACGTTGCACTCGTGCACCAGCTGTAATCAATAATCGATTTTTCGAGCTTTTAAGTATAGACTTGTAAAATATAAATCTCATAATTTTCTGGGAAAAATTCATTTTGATGTCCCGGGTTCATGAGATTTCAAATTTAACAGTATTTTTACAGACAAAAAGATAGCAAATTGGCGGTGTAAAAAAAATTCTTGCAGGATCACGATCGATTGACTAGTAATTCCATCTTTAAAAGACCATACAAGTTTGAAAACCAGTAGGAGGTAAGGTAAATGCCGACTTGGCCAATGCCTAAATGAGAAGCTAGAATTTCGCTCCCTAAACTGAAAAATCGCTGGTGGGAGAGACTCCCGTAACATTCCTGATCCACGGCTGCAGGTTTCAGGACCAATTTGATTACCAGTTAGCAATTTTACGGACTCTTTTGAAAAAGATACAGTTTCTTCTTAGTTATCTCCCTCAAAAGTCAATCAAACTATCAACCAGATCGATATATTGATTTTTCCTACGGTACAAAAATGGAAACAGAAGCTCCGAATCTCATTCACCACCCCTGCGACGAAAATTAGCATCTTGAATCAGTCCTGATTTTTCTTTGAAGGTTAATCTAGCAATCAAATCAATCGATATATTGACTTCGCGTGTCGTGAACAAAACAAAGGAAGCGTAGGCTTGAAACCTAACTCATAACCCTTATGAAAACCAGCGACTTCTAGTCGTTCCGCCATTCCAAAAACCAATCAAGCAATCAGATTGGATCGATATATTGATTTCTCATACCGTGTAAGCAACAGAAGCAGAAGCCTCTATCCTGATCCACAGCCCCTGTGAGAATTAGCGAGCACTAATCGTTGTCCTCTCAGACTGATGACGTATCATGCGTTTCCCAGGATGCGAAATTAACGACGTCTGATGAGAAAAAGCTCCCGACAACTCGTCCGCATTCGCCACCGCCGCCACCGCATCGTTGATGTTCATCGGACCCAAAGTGCAAGCACACTCACACGCATAATGATGCTGATGACGCGGCACACGCTCGTGGAACGGCCACATTGTGAATTCAACGAAGACGATGACGTCAACTCGTCCATTCATTCATTGCAGCGACGGCGACGGCGGCGGCATATCGT